GATCATTGTTGTGGCACATCTGTACCTGTGAGCACAGGAAATCTTCTACTGAAAGCGCTGTTCCCTCTCCATCACTTCTTTGGATTAAAATGAAAATTCAATGAAAATTAGACACATTTAAAATTATTTTTTCTGCTGTGTAAAAAATTCAAAATAAGGACTGGGAAGGTGGCTCAGTGGTAGAGTACTTGCCTTGCATGCATGAGGCCCTGGGTTCCATTCCTCAGCACCACATAAGCAGGGGGAAAAAAAGCTGGAAGTGGTGCTGTGGCTCAAGTGGTAGAACGCTAGCCTTGAGCTGAAGAACTGAGGGACAGCGCCCAGGCCCAGAGTTCAGGCCCATGACTGGACCCCTCCCAAAAAAAAGCAAAATAAACATCTATATTTTTGTTATTGTTGAAGAATTTTAAAGGATTAGTCACATGCAAAGAAAGGGTTGCATAGATTACTTCCAACAATCTATTGTACGTAACCAAAAGTATTAACTATTTATTAATGTTTAATTTTATTATTGCTTAATTTTTAATGTTTCTTTTGATCTAGAGTTTATTTATTGTTAATTTTTATTTCATAATAAGTTTTATCCAAATACAGATCGAGTGATATTAATGTTAGCTTGGCATGTACTAATATCAGGAGCATATTAATTAAAACAGAAGATACAACAAAATTTACACAAATATCTATCTATCTATCTATATCTGTATCTATATATGATAATGCAGCCAATCCCTTTGATTGAGAAACTTTCCTGGAAAAAATATCCTGGAAATATTTTTGTTGCAGTCTTGGGGATAAGCCTTTGTGATACCAAACTCTCTTCCAGCAACCAATCACCCATGGCACTTTAAACACAGTTATGTAGTTTCAAATATGAACAAATATGTTAGTGATATACATGGAACTCTTCCATTCAGAAGCTGCCTAATCTATCACGTACTTTCTTCTCACAGCTAAGTGTGGCTACCATATTTTGCCTAGGAATAACTACACATAGTGTTTATTATGACAGGTAACCTTAGTAAAATTGTATTGATAGGAAAAGTTAACTAAACTTGGAATATTTCAACCTTCATACCTGTTTTTGGAAAAATAAAAGGAAAGTTCTCAGATAAAACAGTAGCAAATGATTAAGCAATGCCATATTTGGCCAAAAAATCATTGAACTCGTCAATAGAAAAAATATGCATTGCCATAATGGATTTCATGCTTTAAGTTCAAAGGTTTATTTAAGCTTGGATTAAGAAAAGTGAATGTTGAATTCTGCAAGGAAAACAGTACAGAGACTAAAATATTGCTGTAGTTTTCCACATTTACTACTTGAAACCACTTCATAGGTTGATTGCCCCTCTAATAGTTGTAGGTATCACAAATAGAAAGATTACTGGCATGCTTTAAGACATGGGTGTCCCCTGATGATGAAGAAGTGTTTATGTGTGTGTGACTGGATACATTCTTCACTTTGTTACCATATGTGCAACATGGTCAGATGGTTAATGAGTTTTCAGGGCTTAAATGCATCTGGTCCAACTTTAAACTTACGGTTTACAGTACTTCACTGGAGAGCATGTAATTAATCTTTCACTGGATAATCTACCATAACTCCTAAACTAATTAAGAAGAGATATTTTTAACAGGATATGAAAAGTAAGCTGTGTATAGGTTAAGAGAGAATATATACTTCTACATTGAAAAGAAGAGAGTAACCTCTCAAGTAAAATTAAACCTCCATCCATTGCTCTTTTTCTGTAATAGTGTAATGATGAAATATGCTCCTTAACTGAATATTTGCCTCTGAAGGCAAAGGGTATATTCTTATTCTTTGAATTCCCACGATATGGTATAGAGTTAAAGTGTTAAAGGTGGTTTATTGGTCAAAATAATATGGGAATCAACATAGAATACACTTCACTACAATTTACAAATTCTACAGAATGTGGATATGTTTACCTTCATTATTACCTGCCTGTCTGTAAACTATTAATTGCCCTAATAGTTTATGTATCACCACAGCAATAATTTTTAACCATTCTGCAAATAAGGTAAAGACTTAAAATTTTATATACATGTATGTATGCATATGCAAATAGAATTACACATGTGTGTATTTATATTTTACAAACAAAAAATTGAGGGCAAGAAATCTTCAGTAAAATCAGACTGACAATGTTTCAGCTGTGTATTATAATGGGGGAGGAAGGGTCTGTTCCCAAGCTCATGTTCTTGACACATTTGTAGATGTTACACTAAATATTTCCTCATGTACATATAACCATATTTCTCGTCACTCTCATCTTCTTAGTCAAGATGGTTTCTCTAACTTTTAATTGTAGTTGATGACTTCTTGTAAGTTAAATATTGAAATTTGTTTTATAATATACTTCCAGGTGCATTTTGTTATTTCCCTTCCCTTACCCAAATTAGAAAAATGTATATACAAGATACAGGGCAGCAGAATCAAAACAGTGACAACAGGAGTTATATCATAGAGGGAAGAACATTCAAAGAAACAAAATATCACACAGTACAACAGCAACAACAAAAGAAAAACATCTTGGCGTTCATTCCGCTTATCATCTTCTTATATGATCATATGTACACAGCTTTTGACCTTTTTCTGCTTGTCTGGTAACTTTATCCTACATGTATCCTAGTTATTGCAAATAAGGGAAACCATGGGACCTATGTTTCTTTGGGTCTGGATTACTTCACCCATTGTAACAATGAGATGTACAAGATACTATGTTGAAAACGAACTTTACAACTTCCGGGCAGGGTCCAGGGGCGGGATGGGGAGTGAGGGGGGGTTGGGGTAGGGGGAGGAGGAGCTGTGGAGGTGTGGAGGAAAGGGCTGGTAGGGGAAAAACAAAGGAGGAGGTAACAATGCTCTATAGAAATGTACTCATTTCCTAACTCATGTAACTGTAACCCTTCTTTACAATTTAAAAGAAAAACCTTTAAAAATACCACAAGCAATAATTAAATTAAATGGTACATATTTCTTTTGGGCTCCAAATGCAAAACTTCTGTGCAAAGCATGCTATTTTATAATAGCAATTGCACTGAGGATTTTTCAAATTCCATCTTTGGCAACATTAAACATCAAAAAAAAAAATCCTCCAAATTTTGCTACTGAGTAAAACAACGTTAGTGTTTTCATTCACATATTTGATTTTAAGTTGAAAGTGCCATACATGTTTACTTAAGAAACATGAGTATGCTTTAATGTTCTTCATGGTCTATAAAAAAATCCATGTTTTAGGTAATCTCCTATCAAATAATATAGCCTGCCAAATTAATAGTAACATTGCATGTTATTATAAATTTTATGAATGTTCTTTATATTCCTGATCTACTTTTAATTCTCATATAATTCTATGTCCTCATGGGGGAGGAAAATATTGGCAAATTAACTAATTACAAAAAGTGTTGAGTATGTGTATACACGGTATATGCACATATGTGTATATTTTTCTATTTTTATGGAAATATTTGGCACACATTTGGGCCTTGTAAATTGCAAGAGTCATTATAGTAAAATTGAAGTGATCTCATGTGATCTGACTGGTATTATGTGAGAAAAATAAAATGTGCTTTGTTCAAATAATATGTGAATTTTAAATTTTATTTAAAAATACTATCATATTTAATAGAATTTATGCCAAATGCTGGTGGTTCATGCCAGTAATCTTAGCTACCCAGGAAGCTGAGATCTGAAGATTGTGGTTCAGAGTCAGGGTGGGCAGGAAAGTCAGGAGACTCTTATCTTCAATAAACTACTTAGGAAAAGCCAGAAATGGGGCTGTGGTTCAAGATCAAACCTTGATCAAAAATGAAGCTCAAGGACAGTACCCAGGCCCTGAATTCCAGCCCCAGGATCTCTCTCTCTCTCTCTCTCTCTCTCTCTCTGTCACACACACACATACACACACACACACACAGCAATTATAATTTACTTCTCCTATTACACCCTGCAATGCTCACACTATACTGTTACTTCAAAGAAACTACTTGCTGAGCAAAAGTAGTTCTACCAAAGAGCCAATAGCAACTCCAAGAACAATGGAATTTTCACCCATGTTCCTTGCTTAAATTTCTTCTTTTTGCATTAGTTTTTTTTTTCTTCAGTCATCCCAAATATGTGTATAGATTGTTATGGTATGTGTACTCCCAAATAAATATTTTCATATGGAGAATCTGTCTGTTATTTACATTGTTAACTTTTAAGAATGATTAAATTTAGAAATCTTACCTCTCATAGAAAAGATTTTCTCCTCATGATTTTGACTATACCTTATTTATTTGCATTCTATATGATGTTGGTCTATTTTTAATTTTTGCAAGAAATTTCCTTTATTATCATTTAATATTATTTTATACATATGTGAACCTATGAGCCACTTGGGAAAAAAGTAAAGAAAATAGATTATCCTCTATTTCTCTTAAATGTATGCAGATTTTGGAATTTCCAGGAAATTGGGTTTTCTTTTCATGGTTGTAGCATTTATTTCTGTTTGGAGCTTTCGTTTTTCTTTCCTCTTCTCTCTCTTTTTTCATTCCTCATCTTTCTTTTATTACTTCGATGTAAGGGAGCAAGTAATGTAAATTACAATGCGATATTGATTAATACCCAACATAAATTTATAAAATTTACACAACATGAATCTTATGAAATATAACAACTAAAACTTACTTGGAGCTTGTCTTATTCTTTTTATCCTTACTCTACCATCAGACATATAGAGAATGATTCCTTAGAATGTTACCTGTTCCTCTAACAAAGGAAAAAATGGAATCTCTGGAATAATGAAATGATCTCCCAAGTGGGAAGCAAATAACTTGGTAACCGTATCAGGTCCTAAGTACCATAGATAATTAAAAACTGCAATTCTATCCTGTCAAAGCAGTAGATCGATAGGAACATTAATGACTAGTTGAGATCAAGTTTGCAGAGGGATCAGCTAAGTTATGCAATCTAAAATTTCTTGTTACTGTTATTATAAAGGTGATGTACAGAGGGATTACAGTTATATAAGTCAGATAGAGTACATTCTTTTGGACAATGTCACCTTATTCCTTGCTCTCTTCCAATGTTTCCTTCTTGTCCAACCTACAAGTTGTATAGTTCATTTTAATATACTGTCTAGTGAATTCCAGGGATGAATTTCTACCTCCATTTCTGACCCCTTCCCACTGACCCTCCCAAAGAGAAATAAATGGACAAACAAGACAAAAGGAAACGAAAATAAAAACAACTATGCAAAAACCTCTTGTTGTCACGTGCTGGAGATCTTTTCGCTAAATATTATTTTCCATGATCAGATGCACATAGGTATTCCACCTTTGTGATCCTCTCTTAAGAATATCCTCATTTGATCTCATTGTGTGTGACTACCTAACGACCTGTATAGTTTCTTGTGTTCTGGTGTATATTTTTAGCCATCCAGTATGTTTACTAGTAGATTCATAGGCACATTCTAGCTACCACAAATGAGGGGGACCATGCTAACTTATGTTTCTCTGGGTCTGGTTTACTTTGCTTAACATATTCTTTCTAAGTCTTTTCACTTTTGAATGGAGCTTTATTTAAACAGAACTTGGTATGCTTTTCAGCTTGTTTGTCTGATATTTCCTGAGCTATGTTGATGTTTTCCTTGGTGGCTCACATGAAGTCTTTATTTTTCTGCCTTTTGCTTGTAAGTTTTGCCTCCTCTTTAACCAATCAATTTTGATTCATTGGAACAGATCTTTTCCCTAACAATGATACTGTTCTCAAAGACAAATATCACCTATTGTTTACACAGATTTTGCCTTCTCCAAAGCACACTGGATATAAAACTTATTTTTTGGAATGTGTGCTAAATTACTATAGACTTGTGTATTTTACTATACAAGCAGAAGAATATTAAATCTTAAAAAGCTTAACTCTTAGCCAAACCCCCATGGTTCACACCTGTAATCCTAGCTACTCAGGAGGCTGAGATCTGAGGATGGTGGTTCAAAGCCAGCCCAAACAAGAAATTCTATGAGACTCTTATCTGCAATTAACCACCAGAAAACGGGAAGTGGCTCTGTGGCTCAAATGGTAGAGCACTCCCCTTGAGCTGAAGAGCTCATGGACAGCACTCGAGCCCAAGTTCAAGCCCCACAACCGAAAAAAAAACCCACAAAAATAAAACAAACAAACAACAACAACAAAAAAAACTTAACTCTTGGGGCTGGGAAGGCTGCTCAGTGGTAGAGCGCTTGCCTTGCATGCCTGAAGCCCTGGATTCGAATCCTCTGCACCACACGAGCAAAAAGAAAAAAAGCCAGAAGTGCCGCTGTGGCTCAAGTCGTAGAGTGCTAACCTTGAGCTGAAGAGCTTAGGGACAGCGCCCAGGCCAAGTTCAAGCCCCACGACCTGAACCCCCCCCTCCTCAAAAAAAAGAAAATGTAACTCTTCAACTAATATGTTTAGATAGCAGATATCACCATACACATATGCAGGAATATTTTCTAGTCACTAGTTCAGAGGCATACCACATTCTTTGATAATTTTTATTTTCTCATTACATAGAAGAATTTCTTATGGATATTAATACATATATTTTCTGTCTCATTGTCTAACACAGTGAGTGCTCATAAATCAGCAGATAATTCAGATATATTAACTAGTTAATTAATTTCTGTGGAAAAGCAAATCATTGATATATAATACAGAGAATTTCAATTATACTAGAAAATATAAATATTTTAAATGAGTAATATGATTAATTTAATATGCAAGATTACAAGTAATCTTAGGAAATGTTTATGATTTCTCCAATAGTAGTTTTTTATGAAACACTCCAAAATTTGCTTAGTCTTCTCTAACCCTCTGTTTTTTAGCTCAGTGTATACTCTCCTTCATGTAAGAGAAAATTTTCATGAAATCATTATTTTTCTTGAAATTTATATCAAAGGACTGAAAAATATGACACCTGTGAAGTTGGATTTTATTAGCAATACAAATTTCATTGACCATAATGAGAAACTACATTTTGATTTCTTAAATTATGAACATATCTTGTGTACAGTAATTACATGATTGGGATAGTGAAGTGTTTATGTTAATTAGTTACTTAATTGACATGTTTCAGTGTAAAAGTAATTTTATATCATTTCAATATTGCATTCTAAAAGCCAATTTATATATATTTGTACTTATATTTTTATGGTTAATGTGGGTAATTGAGATATATCATGCTGGATGCTACAGACTCATACCTGCAAACTAGCTACTTAGGAGGCTGAAATCTGATGATTATGGTCAGAAGCCAGCCCAGGTACTCAAATCTGTGAAACTCTTAGCCATCAAAGAAGCCAGCAGTGAAGTTGTGACTCAAATGGTAGAACCATTTCATTGAGCAAATAAAGCCAGGGGCATTGCCCAGGCCCTGAGTTCAAACCCTAGGATTGTAACACACACACACACACACACACACACACACACACACACACACACACACACACACACCACAACACACCCTCCACACAATATTTCATAAAAATATTTTTCCTATTATTTTTAAGCATCATTATTTCAGCACTTTTAAATTTTTATCAACTATCAATGTTTTAATAATTTGTAACTGTGAAATATATTCAGACAGATTTTTCATCATTAATGGTAGATTTTGTTAGAACTGAACAGAGTATTAGGTCTACTTTCTCTGTTGCGTACATGTGCCTTCTCTACAGCATCAGTCTTAGAAAATTAACCATGTTATTTCAACATGGCTCACCATTTTTACTAAATGAATCATTTGTCCTGAAATTAATGCTCTATTCTTTAATGACTCATTTAAACAAAAGTTATCAAATTAGTCATTCTATCATGTTTATAACACTAGAAATCATTTTACTACCTATATTTTGTACAAATTATCTAATCTCATTCAATTTTTCTATACTATTCTCTTTCCTTTAAGAACATTTTTACCTCTCTATATCATGTAATTTTCATAATGCAATGTTTTATCAATTATTCTGTGAGATTAAGCAAGAGAGATGGTTGAGATGGGGTTTAGTGCTTTCCTGTTTGGACAGTACACTAACTTTGATAATCACCAATCGATGGGAGAAGATTTGTGGAAGCTTTCAGAAAAATGGAGGAAATCTGACAAAAAAATGAATAAATATATAAGAAAAGACATGTTTTGGAAAGACAAAAATTAAAAATATATATATGGCTCAGATCCCAAACTAGAATCCCTTGGCCTGTCCTCATGAGAAAAAATAGTAGTTATACTTCAAGCAAATGACTGAAAGAGTATCAGAAGTTTTAACCTATTGACTATCAAAGTCAGTCAGTAAAGATTGACAGAGTTGATTGTTTCTTTAATTATGAACACTGCACATGACTTAAAAGAATACTAAAAACAAAACTTTGTATGGTCATAGGGACAAAATATTTCTATAGTTATCTCTTCCAAATTGAAAAAAAAAGTCTTCAAAAGTTTGACAAATATTTAAAATAATAGTTTGAAAAAAGCATGAACATTTTTTAACAAAGAAGCCAACAAAGAAATAATTTTATTATCAAAATTTTCAAAAACCAACAGCACTTTTAAAGTGTAAAATATAATATATAATGAAACTTCTATTAAATTATCAGTAGATTTCTTAACAAAAGATAAAGTTAGTGAAAGAATTGAATGATGTGTTCAAAGTCATGAAGGAAACAAGCTTAAAATCTGAATATTCTACCACAGACAAACACTTTCAGAAATAAAGAGATGGAAAGACTTATCAAGAAATCAATCAATCAGTAAAATTAAGATCTAGTGCTGGAGGCTAATTGATCAAGATTGGAAGTCAGCCAAGGCAGGAGAAGTTTATATGAGACTTGTGTCTTGTTAACTACACACACACACACACACACACACACACACACACACACACACACACACACACACACACACACACACACACACACACGAATTGGATATTGAGCTTTGATTCAACTGCAAGAGCCCTAGCCTTAAGGCCAAAAGTTCAGGGACAGTGCCCAGGCCCAGAGTTCAAGCCCTAGAACTACAAAAACGAATAATAATAATTAAGGAGTCCATTACCATCAAATTACCTTACCAGAGATTCTAAGGAGAATTTTATTCCTCCAACACGTTGGTCATGGGGCTTGAACTCTGGGCCTGGGCTCTGTCCCTCAGCTCTTCAACTCAAGGCTAGCGCTCTATCACTTGAGCCAAAGCGCTACTTCCGGTTTCCAGAATGGTTTATTGGACACAAGAGCTTCGCGGCTTTTGCTCCTCGAGATGGTTTTGAATTGTGATCCTCAGATTTCAGCCTCCCAAGTAGCTAAGCTTACAGGCGTGAGCCACCGGTGCCTGGCAAGGAGGATTTTTTATGAGGAAAAAATATTACAAATTATTTTGTCTAAATTATACAATAAATCAGATGTAAAGTATAATTCAAAATTATAATCATTGATATAACTGATAAACCTGGAAAAGCTAAACTTATTTTTAATATCAAAATAAGTATGTAAATAAATAGGAAAAATGTCAATTAGATATATAGATAGATACAGTGCTATTAAATATTTGGGAAATGTAAATGTACAGTAACGTTCAGAATATTAAGAGAGTAAAATTTTGGTGTAAATGCTTTCATTGTAGCATAATGATTAAAAGCTAAAATTCATTGATCATAAAATTATATTGCTAATAAATAATAATACAAAAATAATATCATGATTTAAAAATGTAAAATGTTGACAAGGTTAAAAAGTGTATAGATTTTTTTTATTTTAATACATTTTATTGCAAAAATATTGTACAGAGGGGTTACAGTTACATGAGCAAGGTAATGAGTACATTTCCTATCAATCATTATTGCCTCCTCCTTTGTTTTTCCCCTACTAATTCTTCCCTCCCATCTCCACAACTACAATCCCCCCCAATCCCCACGTAAATTGTAAAATTCATTTTTCAACATAGTGTCTTGTACATCTCAGTGTTACAATGTGTCAACCTGTATCCCTTTTTAAGCATTTTGTTTCTTCCCTTCCCCTCCCCAAATTAGAGAAGTGAATATACAAGATGCAGGGCACCAACATCAAATATAGTGAAAACAGAGGTTATACCATGGGGGGGAACATACAAAGAAACAAAAAAATCACATGGTACATTTCTTTCTTGCTATTGTTTCTAAAATATTTATAAAATACCAAGTGTATAGATTTTATATGAATACAGTTAAGATTTTGTGAGCTTCCAAGAGACCATTGCAATTATATTGTATTAATTCTCCTAACAACAACAACAGAAAGAAAAAGAAAACCACTATGGAATATATACATAGGAGGAATAAACTTAAAACATACCACTACCTAAAACATCATATTACAAAACAGGAAGAAATAAGAAATACAATTCAATATAGTCATAAAGCAATTAACAAAAGAAGAGAAGCTTTCCTAGTAATAGTTATCCTAAATATAAATGGTATAAATTCTCTAATCAAAAGACAATTAGGGATTAAATAAATTAAAATACAAAAGCTACTCAGAAGAAAATCACAGGTTTCCCTTATTTGCAATAACTAGTATATGTCTGAGACAAGCAGAAACAGTTAGATAAGTTGATGATAGGCAAAATGAACCCCGAGATAAGGACTCAAATTTTTTTTTCTTGCTTGCTTGCTATTTGTTTCTAACGTATTTATAAGATGATTTCTTTGTTGCTTTGTATGTCCCTCCCCCACGCTATAATCCCTGTTCTCACTGTATTTGATGTTGGTATAATTTGTGGAGGAAAAGGAAAAAAATGTATTGTTTAAATAGGGATACACATGGACTCATTGCAACAATGAGATGTACAAGACGTTATGTGAAAAACGAACTTTACAACTTTGGTGTAGGGGAGGTGGGGGTGGAGATGGGAAGGGATGGTAAGGGGAAACAAAGAAGGAGGCAACAATGCTTGATAAGAAATGTTCTCATTACCTTGCTCATGTAATTGTAACCCCTCTGAATGGTATTTCACAATAAAAAAAATCTCATAGGCCTCAAGGACATGTATTATCTTAAAGATAGGGTTTGCAATATATTCATGCTAATGGGAAATTAAAGAATATAAGGAACAATGCTAATATTAGTTGAAGCAGACTATGTTTAACAAAACTGATTTTAGATATGAAGAAAGTCATTGTTATATGACAGGAGATAAAATTCATCAAAAGTTTCAATTACTGTAAATATGTGGATCCATCACTAGAGTATACAAAAATATAACTATACCCTAACAGCTAGGGCAAGCTACACAATATTATAAGGGAACTAAATACTCTATTCTGTTGCCCAAAGAGAAATCACTAAGTAAATATTGGACTTGAACTACAGTGTAGAAGACATAGCAATAAGAGCAAATTTGACCAATTGTACAAATGAGAAAACCTCATTTTAAAGTGTACTCAAGACATTTTCTCTGATCCCACCAAACAGCAAATCTTAATAAATTCAGGAAGATTAAAATAATACCAGGCATCTGTTCTGACCTCAATAAAACCAATTAGGTAATTTACCTCGTAATTTAAATAATAGATGGAAATTAAAATACTTCTGAACAAGCAAAAAAATCAAAATACATACAAAACATCTGAAACAAACAAAAAATCGAGAAACAACATATCAAACTTGTTAATTATAGCAAAAATTTTATAAGAATATTTTGCCTGGTGGCTTATGCCTGTAATCCTAGCGGTGAAGGAGGCTGAGATCTGAGGATCATGGTTCAAAGCCAAGCTGGGCAGGTAAGTCTGTGAATAAGGCTCCTCTCTCCAAATAACCACCAGAAAACAGGAACTTGAGCAGTGGCTCAAAGTGGTAGAGGGCTAGCCTCAAACACAAAGCTCAGGGGCAGTGCTCAGGCCCTGAGATCAAACCTCATGCCTGACAAAAATGTTTATTCTGATAATTGCATGCATTTCCAGTGAACAACCTAACTTTATATCAGAAGTTTAAATTAAAAACAAAAGATGTGAAGGAAAGAAACGACAAAGATTAAGTTCTATATAAAAGAGAAAAACAGAGAAAAAATTTGTATTCTTGTATTTAACCAGATAAAATTGTCAAACCATTAGTTAGATTAACAGAAGAATAAGATAAAACCATAAGTAAATTTTCTAATGAAGGGACACATATGACACCTTAGAAACACAAAGAACAATAAAAGAATATGAACAATTATATGCAAGTTGCACACCTAAAAAGGAATAAATTCTCACAAAAAAACAGAACCTTTCAATACAATAGGATAAAGAAATAAAAATATATAAGCACACCAGTAATAAGTAAGTAGTAAGCATTGGTACTCCAAAATCTCCCAGCAAGGGAATTTCCATAACAGATGAATACACTAGTGATTATAACCAAGATTTTAGAAAGACAATAACAATCCTTTTCAACCTTACACTTCCAGACAAAGAATAAAGAAATATTCCTAACCTCATTTTTTTTTTTTTTGCTTTCCAGTTCACTTTTTTTTTTTAAATTTTATTTTATTTGTGAACATACTGTACAGAGGGGTTTCAATTACATGGGCAAGATACTGCATACATTTCTTACCAAGCATTGCAGCCTCCTCCTTTGTTTACCCTTCAACTCCCTTCCCAGCCTCCCCCCTCCCCCCCACCCAATTCTTCCCCCCCTCCCCCCCCACCGACATTGTAAAGCTCCTTTTTGACATGACAATTTGTACTTCTCATTGTTGCAACTCATTTTTAATGCTCACATTTTCCTGATAACCATAGCCATGAATGAAGAAAATTTGCATCAATGGTAAGTCAATTTCCCTGGTAAATCTAAGTACAAAGATGTTTCCCAAAATTCTGTAATAGGACAGGATTATATATAAATATATGATGCTTCATATAAACTGAATATAACTATATAATCCTTTATGTAAATAGATCAGGACAATAGGACTTATCTCTGACAAGGAAAAATAATTCAATAGTAAGATATGGTCATATATGCCTGTAATTTTAGCGACGTGGGAGATTTAAATATAAGAAAAAAGAGGTCGATACTATTTAGTTTAAAAATACATCAGGAAAACAATATCATTTATAATAGCGTAAGATATTATAAGAGGAATAGATGGAATGACAATGTATTGAGAACTGATCAAATAAATTAAAGACCGGCATAAATAGGAAGATGGCCATGGTCACAGAAAATTTAACTCTCTTAGAATATGCACACAACTCAAGTGATTTGAATATGCTTACAACTCAAACTGATAGCCAACTAATTCTTAAAAAAATCATTCCAAGAATATATATGATGGCAAAAAGATAGTCTTTTAAGTAAATGGAATTGGAGTTGAATATTTTCTTGCAAAGAGATGGAATTGGACACTTATCTTACCTCATACACTTAAGTCCGTACAAAACACATTAAAGATTTTTTTTTTTTTTTTTTTTTTTTTTTTTTTTGCCGGTCATGGGGCCTGAGCTCTGGGTCTGGGCGCTATCCCTCAGCTCTTCAGCTCAAGGCTAGAGCTCTACCACTGGAGCCACAGCGCCACTTCCGGCTTTTTCTGTTTATGTGGTGCTGAGGAATTGAACCCAGGGCCTCATGCTTGCAAGGCATGCACTCTACCGCTGAGCTACCTTCCCAGCCCCACATTAAAGATTTTTAAGAAGTTGCAAAACTCCTATAAGAAATAGAGAAAATTTTCCTTTGTATCTCTTTGGTAATAATATTTGTTTATGACCCAAAAGGACAAGCAAAAGCACAAAAGCAAAAATGTATGTGTGGCTACATCAAATTAAAATGGAAATCATTTCAATCATTTATTTCAATCAATAAATTGAAATAAACCCTCACAGATTATAGAATGAAAAAAAATTTGGAAATGATATACATGACATACTGTTAACATCCAGAATATATCAAGAACTGATCTAACTCAGAAACTTAAAACCAAATATTGTGATCAAAAGATGGGGAAAAAACATAAATATGAATGCTTTTTAAAACATGAATGCATGGTTAGAAGAAGAGGTGTGGGGCTGGGAAGGTGTCTCAGTGGTAGAGTGCTTGCCTTGCATGCCTGAGACCCTGGGTTCCATTCATCAGCACCACATAGCCGGAAGTGGCTCTGTGGCTCAAGTGGTAGAGCATTAGCCTTGAGCTGAAGAGCTGAGGGACAGCGTTGAGGCCCAGAGTTCAGACCCCATGACCGACCCCCCCCCACACACCAAAAAGAAAAAAGAAAAAAAAATCTGAACATCACTCACCACCAGAAAATATGTCAAACAAAAGGTATTCTTTCCTGTTATGTTAACTATTATCAGACTATCAGAAAATTGTAAAGTCTGTCAAGGATACGGAAAAAAGAAAAAAAAGGAACACTTTCAAATGTTAGGGGATATAAATTGGGAAGACACTATGTAAGACAGAATTTAATAACTTACCATGCATCATGGCTTACATATGTAAATCAATTACTGGGGAAACTGATTCTAGAGTATTGGGAGTTCAAGGTCAGCCCAGGCAAACAAAGCTTATCTCAGAAGATCCTACCTCAAAACTAAAGTACAGTTGCACACTGGTGCATTGTGCCTGTAATTCCAGCTATTCGGGAGTCTGAGATCTGAGGATATTAATTCAAGAGTTTACTGCCTGTGAAACTCTTATCTCCAAATGACCACCAGAAAACCATAAGTGAAACTGTGGGTCAAAATGGTAGAGCCTTGATCCAAAAGAGCCCAGTCCCTGAGTTCAAGAGTGAGGA